ATTTTATTCTATTTGCATTCTTGGACTCTGCAGCTTCAGTATTTTGAGATTTGAGTATCCGTGTATTTAAACTCTTCTCTCAGTACACCTGTCTACATGAACACGTGACCTGTGTTAATCTGTCGAAATCCCCGCAGCCCTTTCATTAAGTCATATTATTATCATTAGATTTCATTTATTTAAACCCATTAGCTTCATTCAAATCGGATTCTCGTCTAAAAGAGGACAAAAAAATCATCAACCATGCGTTTACAAAGATTATTATAATTAGATAAATAAAAACACGCAAAGATGATTATAATGATGAGGTTAAACATCTGGAGTGTAAGCAGAGGTGGAGTGCAGGTATGCACAGGTGTACAGAGCAGGCCCGGATCTACGAGAGTACAAAAGGTCGCAATGCATCCTCAACTGAAAACACGCAAAAAAAAACCTATAAATAAAAAATTAAAAAAATAACAATGAAGTCTTTCAAATGATAACAGTGACTCAGATCGTATTTATTAAATACAGGATCGGAAGGTCATGAAACCTGCACGTGACCTGTCTGCTCTGGGACCACCTGAGAGACCCGTAACACCTGTACGGTATTTTTCTTTGCTGTCGCTGGTCACTCTGACTCTAATTGGCTAATACCAAATAATTAAGCACGAGTACTCCTACAAGTCAGAGGCCGTTTATCCTCATGCTGACGTCATATTTACCTTTATTTTGAAAGGGAAAGACAGATGTTTGTCGTGTGTTTGGTTTCCCTCTTCACCTTCTTTGGTTTTTATTTCAGTTAATGATTCATGAAGAACCAGTCTGAATGTTTGTCTTCATCCCGGTCAGACTGGTTATATTGGACCGAGCTGGTGACCATCACCGAGACAGCGTGGCGTCTTCTGCGTCATCACACACACTCGCACACTCGCACACTCGCACACACGCGCACACGCGCACACACACACACACACACACACACACACACACACACACACACACACACACACACACACACACACACACACAGGAGCAGCTTCAAGGTGTGTGGTGGCCTTGAACTTGAGCTCATTACATCTGTCGGTCTTTCTGTCTGCCCCCCCCTTCTCTCTCTCTCTCTCTCTTCGTGTTAAACTTGACCTTGACCCTCAGGGGCCAGGCTCCCCCCCCCAACAGACCACACTATGGGAGAGAGAGACTGTCTGTCTGGGAGGTGTGTGTGGGTGCGTGTGTGTGTCGGAGAATATTTATAAAGTATTCATTATTATAAGGAGGAATAAAAACATGAACAGTGAGAATCACGTGATGTTCATGACGTCATATTGACGCTTTTTTAGCTTTTTAAAACCTTTCTCCTTTTGAACGGAGCTGTTTGTCTTTGCTCTTTTTTCTGTTTGAATGTTTATTAACTATTTTCTTGTTTTAGTCTCCCCATCTTGTTGATTTGTTCTTTTGTATTTAATTCTCTTTAATTGTGTTTATTTATATCTTTAACGACCTCCTGATCCCTCCCTGTTGTTCCTTTATTATTATCTTTATTTATATTATTATTATATTCTCTCTGATTGTTCTGTTGATGTTTATTCTGTTGTTGTCCTGACTTCCTGCCTTTGCTGTGTTTGTCAAAGCGCTTTGTTAACAAGCTGCTGTATAAATAAAGTTATTTAATTATTATTTTAATTATTATTAGAGTTTTATTCTGTTTTAATGAAGCAGACTCGCGACTCCTTTAAGATTTAAATAAATATTCATAAAAATAAAAATAAAATATCTTCAGTGATGTCCTCTTCTTTCTGTTTCTATCTTCTCTGTTTGAAGGGTTCACGTTTCTTCTTTAAGCTCCTCAGAGATTCTCACGTGTTCTCGTTTTATCTCGTCTTTTATTTTTCATGTTACCGGAAGTTGGGACTTTGTTTTTAACATTTAGGGATTAAAAAAAACAGACACGAACAGAAGAATACAAAAAGCACAAATAAGAATAATAATTTATTTGCATAGGTAACAAAGAGTTTCACATCAGACAATAAAACAGAGAATAAAATCAGACTCTCAGAATAAAAATGAAATCACAGAGTAAAAGCCTTTTTGTTAAAGAATTTCAGTAGATAAATAAAACGGAGGACTGACTCTGCAGGTCGGATCTCCTCTGGCAGGTCTGGAGGCCAGTCCTGTCCCCCTTTAGTTTTCATCCTGGACCCTGGAGCAGCCAGCAGAGCTCAGTCTTCCCGCAGTAAGGGTCTGAAGCAGAAAGGATTTTAATTAAAACTACTGGAAACAGACAGGTGTGCAGAAGAGAAATGTGTCCGTCAACAACTTTAAGGTAAACTCCGGCTGCTCTCACCTGAAAACAAACTTTTATCATCAACCTCTCGGTACCAGACCTCCTTCAGGATGAACCTGTGCGCCTGGAAATGTTGAGACAGTGTGCGGGATTTTACCTTTGAATAAAAACTATAGAGGGAGAATAAATCTGAAAGCTCACACCAACATGTCCCCACGGTCACGGCCAGCTGATGTTTGGGTTTTTGTCGTGGAGAGGAACTTTAGTAAAGCATGTGAATGATACTCAGGACTGTGATCATTTATAGATGATCAGAATATGAAGCGAGTCAAAAACAGAAGGCCACAGGTCAGTTAGCATGTGCTAACCTCTGCATGCTAACTCACCATGACAACAGAGAATCCTTTACATCATGTCGAACAGTTTGTAGTTTTCCTAAAATGATTACCATAATTCAAACATGTTTTAAATAACATAAACATCAAAAAGAGTCAGACTGATAGGGCAGCAGCCAAACTCTGCACAGATCTTTTATTTATTTTGTTCAAAATGTAGATTTTTAGAGAAAAAGGGGACAAGACAAATGTTTGAAACTTTAACTTCATATTAATTCTTCATGTTTGTCTCATTTATTTGTGCATTTTTTTTTATCATTAAATAATGAATGTTGGACTGCATGAGGAAAAATAAGAATTAAAAAAACTTAAAAAGAATAAACTTAAAGAATAATGTTGAACTAACAGCTGATAGTTTTCTTTAAATGTCTATTTAATGAGTGAACATTAGAAAAGTTCAGTCAGGGATTTATTCATCTTCTTCTTTTTATCACTTCAGACTCCGCTCGGCTCCTCTACCTGCTTCTCCTGCACGAGCACGTTCACACCTGCTGTAATATAATATGTATTGATTAAATAAATAAATATATATGAAGGAATGAACTCTAAAAAAGCAGCATACACTTCTCCTGCAGCCGCGTTCAGTCCCTGAGAACAGAGATAATGAAGCCACAGCGCAGCTCCAGATGATCTCACAAGACGGTTGACTTAAAATAAATAAATTCAATTCCGCTAAATTTAAAACGTACCACAGTCCCACTCTTTAGAGCACACCTGTCCAACACAGCTGATTGTCTGTGCAGGTTCTCATCCAGGCCATGGTACAGTCGAAGCTTGATCCAAAGCTAACTGAAGATGTTGAAGACGTTTCTCCTCCGAAAGGATTCTTCAGTTCTAAAGTTTGGATCAAGACTCGAAATGAATAAATCTGATTCTGATTCAAAAAGCTGAGCTGAACCTCTCACTCTCGGTTTGTCCACAGACATCACATGTGTGTGTGTTCATGTGTTTAGTGTCTCATATTTAAGAACCAAATACTAAATTAAGGGATGCTTTAATTTAAGGTCATATACAGAAAACATGGCGTCTAATACGCATCACACGCGCGCAGCTGAGACTGTGTTATCTTCATGATGACGTCATTCAGGCCTCAATTTGTTCATGCACTTGATTAAATATTGAACTGAGTGCAGAGACATGTTTGAACATTTACATCTCTGTGTATGTTAAAATAAGGAGGAGTCTGAGGTGAGGATGAAAACACTCAGAGGACATATCTTCAAGTCTTTTCTTTGAGGTTCATTCTTGCAGAAGGTGACAGTGAGAATATGTTTTCATCACCTCACATTTCTGCACGCATGAAAGAAAAACAGCACGAGGCGCCGGTCTCCTCTCCTCTCCTCATAAATGTAAATCCACCAGCAGACGGTGAAATGAAGACGCGGACCGTGGGTCAGAAGTGAAGGGAAAACCTTCATGCAGCTCTTTGAACCGAAGCCATTTTCTCTCAAATCTTAAACCCTCCAAATCTCCATAAACCCGCTTTACGCTCCCATTAGCCTGAAACTGAGAGAGAGGGAGAGAGAGAGAGGTGACCAGCAGAGTAAGCCTACAGTTATTCTACATTTAAAGGTTTCTTCTTCTTCTGCTGAAGGTTGGAAACATCCCCTTTAAGTTATGATTTCTTTTTTTATATTTTATGACAACTATAAACTTTTCCCCCTCGTGCATTTGGCAGCGCGAAGCTGCAACAGTCTTTACGTGTCCATAACTTTGAACATTTTACACACACATTTGAATATTTTGGGAAATATTAAAAACTAAATGTATTTTCTTCAACGTCAAATGTTTGAATTTGTTGTGATCATAATGTCCTTCTTGTGTCAGAGTAGAAATATCCTCACGGTCACATCCTCTTGTTTGACTTCATCATGCGCGCACAGTGTGCGTCTTTACGCACAACACAAAACATGTGAAGTGAATTTTTTGTTTTCTGAAACTCACGGTGACATCACGTCAACTCTTCAGGAGATCAGAGACTTCAGTCTGACATTAATCAGCAGCACGAAGAGCCTCAGCACGTTCACGGAGCTGCAGCGCTGCACGCAGCTCATGCCCCTCTCGTGCCACAGCTCGAGCCTCATAAAAACATTTTTCTTTGACAAGACTCTTCTTCTCCGCCTTTTTTCTCCATCTCATCACGTGATGATCCAGTCTCATCCAATGGACACGCTCCCTCCCTCCTCTCCTGCTCCCGCGGGCTCGTTGCGTCAAAGCTGCGGCTGAGATGTAACTGGGGGACCTCTCGGTTACCGGGAGTATTTGCCTCGAGCAAGCACCGTCAACAAACGGTGCAGCAGGGCGCGTGCTATGACAGTGCACGTGAGTGAGCAGGAGAGAGCTCAGACTGGAATCAATGCGTAAACCTGAGCTCCTCTTTCAGCAGATGTAGCAGCTCTGCGCGCGGTAGCAGGAAACAAAATCTGAGAGGAAACGGAGACGAACGGAAGCCAGACCGGGAACAGGAGCGCATATGACCGCCTCCCTGGTCCTCAACCCTCGCTGGCCAGCGGACACGGTGATGTTTGTGTATGACAACAACCTGGACGACCTGAACAAGAACATGGAGGGGCTGGTGGGCAGCGGAAACTTCGCCGCTAGCCAGTGCCGCAACATCATGGCGCACTCCGCGGCTGCCGCTGCTCTGGGCGGTCACCCGTCCGGTCTGGTGCACTCCTCGGCCGGGTACCCCACCGTGGATGTGTCTGCTTCCGGCTCCAGTGAGTCTGGAGCGTCCTCGGGGAAGCAGTGCGCGGCCGGACCGTGTCCTGCGTCGGCCGTGCCGCATCAGAGCTCCTCTGCCGCCACCGCGTTACCGTATGGCTACTTTGGTAACGGTTACTACCCGTGTAGGATGGGGCGGGGTTCCCTGAAGTCCTGCACGCAGGCGGCCGGCTCTCAGTACATGGACACCACGGTGAACTCAGACGAGTACTCGAACCACCGGGCCAAAGAGTTCGCCTTCTATCACGGCTACCCGAGTCCGTACCAGTCCATGGCCAGCTACCTGGATGTGTCGGTGGTCCAGACTTTGGGCACCGGAGAGCCGCGCCATGACACCCTACTCCCCATGGACAGCTACCAGCCCTGGGCTCTGACCAACGGCTGGGGGGGTCAAATGTACTGCTCCAAGGATCAGGGACAGGCCGGACACCTGTGGAAGTCCGCGCTGGCAGGTAAGACACGTTTTTAATGTCGGTTCAAATGTGGTATCAAAACTATTTTTTATAAAACGATGCTCAGGCCCACTCACGTGATGGCACAAAGTGAGTGAACTTAATGTTATTATGATCCATTCATTGAGTTTCCTTTTAATTAAACACATCTGATGACATCATTTAGATGCTGTAATTATTGAACAAAGTCTTTACGCATGTTGAACACGGAACGATCTCAGCAGTTTGTTTTATGATCGATCTTTCCTCGAACATTGTGTCTGAGCTTTTTGAGCAACTGGTGCGTAAAATGAAAACAAGGTGTTTGATTTGTAGGTTAAATAATAATTCAGAGATTATGACCTGTCACCGTAAAGTGCAACATTAATATTTAGATTTGTTTCTGTCTCTTCATGCTAATTAAGTCCATTCATGAATGTAAAGGTCATGTGTTGCCTCGAGTGTAAACCTGATAATTACTGAGAGACTAAGAGTCGTGTTGTGTTGTTAGCAGAGTGATAAAATAAACTCAGCAGGTTTATAATGATTCATAACTACCAGCATAATAATCACATAGCAGTGGGCTCTTACTTGAGATTTTAAACGAAGAGTTCATTTTGGAAAACGAATACATCTTTTGATTTATGAATCACACACACATGGAATCACTCGTGCTATAAAAATGACTCAACCTGAACATTGAAGAGGATTAGAGAATCCATTGTTACGTGAATTAACAGAAATGAACGTTTATTTGAGGACAGAGTGTGCAGCTGCATGCTCGTGCAGAAGGCAGACATCCACCATGTTGTTTGTCTGTCGCAGCATGGCTGACCAATCAGCTGCAAGCACAGACCCTCCGTCTTCATTAAGCACACAGAAACCTCAATGCACGCTCGTGTGTGTGATAGTAGTTCTGTCCCGGTGTGTGCAGCCCCCCCTCAGCCCGCATGTCCCCCCCCCTCTTCTCTCTCACAGATGTGGTGGCTCATCAGCACGACGGCTCGCCTTTCCGCCGCGGCAGGAAGAAGCGGATCCCGTACACCAAGGTGCAGCTGAAGGAGCTGGAGAAGGAATACGGGGCCAACAAATTCATCACCAAGGACAAGAGGAGGAAGATCTCCGCCGCCACCAACCTGTCGGAGCGGCAGATCACCATCTGGTTCCAGAACCGGAGGGTGAAGGAGAAGAAGTTCGTGGCCAAAGTGAAGAGCAGCGCGCCGTAGCATGCAGGCTCGCGCGCTCTGGACGGTTAAATGAAGGATCTGGATGTGTCTGTGTGTGTTAAACATGAAGAATGAACCGACAGACACCATACACATGGAAAATAAATGAACTCGATGGTACTCCTGATGGACTGGGGCTGTGCGTAAAAGCGCGTGTCAAGAAGAAAACAAATTTAAAAAAAGGACATAAAGGAGAAGAAGAGAACCAAAGCCCTCTTCCTGTACATACAGCACCTTCCTGCCTGCCTCGATGTAACTGTCTGTCTCCTGTCTGTGTTTTACTGTCTGTCCGTGTTGTTCGTGTAACACACTATATGCTGTTCATACTGTTTATAACGCCTGTAAACCAGTAATCCCAGTACTCCCAGTATAGTGCATCACTTAATAAACACCTTTAATCCCGATGGAGTCTCCAGTAGGTCTCATATCTTTGAAAACTTTGGGATCGTGTAAAGTCCTTCTGGTCGCCTCCTCCTCCGTGAAACTATTCCCGTAAAATGTGCAAACAAATCCGCACTCAAAGGCGGGAAGACCGGACAACGAGCAGAGAGTGCACGTGCAGATTAAAACGTGTTTATGAGAGCGTGAACATCACCACAGCAAAGATATCTGTTTCCTGCTCTCAGTCCGCAGACCCGTGGGAACAAAAAGTGCTAAACTTTCATTTAATTAATTTATATATTATATGGAGCTGCTGGAAAAAGAGAAAATGTTAATTTAGGAATTATTTTGATGAACATGTTGCATCTATAAATATCATAAATAACTGTTGTGTTTGTTACATGTAGGAAAGGAGACATGAAGCTAATCAGCGCAGAAAACGTTCTTTTTTCTTTAATTTTTCAAGTTCAGTTTTAAAATGCGCTCGTGCATCTTTGTGGAGTTTTATAAAGTTAAGTTTATGGTCATTATTTACCTGAAATATAAATCTGTGAAAAAGGAGAATTTATAACCGCATGAGCAGTAAGAATTAAAGGTGTAGGAAATAGTATTCTCTATTTGAGGGACTTCACGTGCTGGTTTGGTAACTTAATTCAATAAAATAATTTAAAACAATTTCAAACTAATCACTTATGTATATCAAAAGTTCTGTAATGTTTCTGCAGCTGTCTAATTGAAAAAAATAAAATAAATGTAATGTTTAAAATGAAGATTTATTAAATTCATTCAGAGTTAACATTTTTTAATTATAAATTACAAAAAAAACAACAGTTAATAAAAATAGAGATCTTAACATGTAGATATATATTTGTATTATTTATTCATTAAGGGAAATTGAGCCAAACACTTAAACATTTCTAAATTAGATGTTCGAATTGAAAAATCATTTAAAAAATGTTTTATGCAAAGGCACTGCGCATGTGCAGACAGTCGCAGGTAAATAGAAGAGACTAAGAGATTAAGTGTGTATCGTCTGATCGACCTCCTTGTAGTTTACATTGTGTGTGTGTGTGTGTGTGTGTGTGTGTGGGGGGGGGGGGGGGGGGGGGTGTTTTTGTGAGGAGAGAGAAAGAAGCCCTTGACCTTGAGAGTCACGTCAGCAGCTAAAGCCTCGTTTACGACAGCAGAGCGACACACACACACACACACAAATACACACACACACACACACTCTGTTGGAGGGTTTGTGGGTCACCAGCAGCGGCAGCAGTCTGGCTCAGAGGAGTTATAATTTCCCACAGAAACCTCGTGTCTTAAAAACCTCAGAAATGTAACATCAAGCATGTGATCAACATCAGAAAGCAGCGCGTGAGTTTGATGAATTTAATTATTATTATTTTTTATTTTTTTAAATCCTCAATCCTGAGTATTTTTTGAACGAATACATCGACTTTGACATCAGAGTCTCTCTGTGGATCTGTAATAACAACTCAGAGCACCGCGTGGACTGTGTCTGTGTCTGTGTCTGTCTGTGGATCGAGTTAATTATCTTTATCGCCACTCAGACAGTCTCTGATGATCCGGGGGAGCACGGCCACAGAGAATCTGCACATTAATAAACGTTTATTTTTCAGATTATTAATTTGAATTATTCCTGAAAGAGAAACAGACCATCGATCAGCTCCAGGTAAACTTTGTTTAAACATGCATGCGGCGTTGCAAACCCTCCTTACAGTTTATTTAAATGTAAATGTTTGAAAGCTGCTCATGCTGTCTGCTGCGGACTGACAGTCAGACAAACAGAAATATAAATATAGGATACTACATGGAGAGAAAATCACTCCAGACAAATTAATCAAATAAAATAAAAATATGTAATAACACATTCTTACAAAGGAAATCTTCTACCAAAAGAAATGAGAATTTATCCAACATGGTGATGTTTGTCTTCTTGGATTGTGATCGATGTCTCTAAACACGAGCACTTAATCCACCGTTTCTTTCTCTTCATAGTAAATGATTGCAAATATATTTGTTTTTAACGTTCTGCTCTTTTTCCGGATTCTGTTCCTCTTTTTTCAAATGTTATAAAAACCAATCGTCGCCCCTTTCTTATCTTTTTAATCGTTTGAGTCAAACAAGAGATCTGAAATATCTTTTGGAGTATCAAAGATCCAAACTGGTAACCAAAATGATTATAGTTGTTTTAATTGTTGTCCATTATTTTAGGATTTCAGAGCTTAAACCGGGAAAAGTGTTAAATATTTCACTTCTTCTATTTTGTGGATTTTTCGCGACCTTTTCCTCCAGCAGCAGCAGCTCCTCTCCGACCCCCCTGTGCACCACCCCTCTTTCCTCTACTCATAATACAACATTTAAAATAAAGACATTAGCAGTGAAGTCGTTGCTTCATGTTGTGGTGACATTTGAAATGTTTAACTGAAATATTTAAGGTGCAGTCACGGTGAATACTCGAAGTTTACGGAGAGCAGCAGGATTTGGTGCCTGAAGGGAACATTTAAAGACAGGTAGAAACAATCACAGGACTGGAGTGTTGCATTATTGCGCTACATGAACAGAATGCATATTTATATTAAAATATCCGCAGATTTCTTTAAACATGATCTCTCTCCTGCAGCGCGTGCTGCTGTTTCTGCGCATGTCTGTTGACCTTCGCCGTAAAGCTCCCTCTCTGCGTCGACCTTCAGTCAATTCACACATTACGAACTTGACCTTCATCATTTTTCTGCTGCTCAGTTTGTAAAGAACCTCAAAATGTCCTGAAGATCCAGAAAAAGAGGGACGGAATGCGCATGTGCGAAGTTGTCTCAAACTATGACATGATCACCAGGCCTGAAGAGAGAACTCCTCATGTATGTGTCTGTGATATAATAATGTAAAATAGTAATAATAATAGTATAATAATGTAATATAAAGGGTCTGTTAGGGATTTACTTTAAATATAAAGTGTGTTGATGGCTGAGCTGCGGCGGATAAACGGGATGAAATAAAATGTTTAAAAGTGGAATCATGGTTGAAATGTGACATTTAAACAGTTCAGTGAAGTGATCATGAAAGGCAGAGCAGGAAACATGAACCAACCTGCAGAGACATAAAGGAGTGCACCACATGTCACGTGCCTGTAGGATTTATAATCATGCAAAAAATAAATAATTTGATCTGATATTAAATTAAAAAGGAAGCTGGAATCTGGCCAATAAAACAGGATTTCATCTCCTTTACAGTGTGTGTGTGTGTGTGTGTGTGTTGTGCCGTTAAACATTAACATTGAACTTGACAAACGGCGGTGTGCTCTGCCGGCCTGTTGACTCTCTTTACGGCTCCGTGTCTGTCCTCCTTTAAAACCAACAATACGGACGGAAGCCCTGAAGCCCATAAAGCTCTGTCTCCCCTTTAGTCCAAATACCAGAGAGGAGGAGGAGGAGGAGGAGGAGGAGGCCTGCAGACCATCGTGCCTCTCGTGTGGTCTCATCAGCTCTACTTTGACCTTCCTTCATATTTTCAGCTCAGATCTCTAACTGAGGAGATTTTTCTGTTTCTGCTGTTCGGTGCATTATCCTGAAAGTGTTAATACACTTCTACACTCACAGAATATTAGAAACACCTTTAGTACTCCTGCAAACTAAACCGTAGACAAACAGCCTTTAAACACAGTCACTAAAAATTAACAATTATCATAAATGTCAGGGAGCTGGCTGCACGAGCCGACAGATGAATTTAGAACTCCATTCGAAAATAAAAATGGCGGTTGGATGTTTTTTGAACTTCTGCAGAGGAGGTGAAGGATGGATTTAATAAATTAAATTCATCCCAAAGGATTTCACACCAAAAAATAAATAAATAAAATGACCTTCATTGAAACATTCTGATTCTTCAGAATAAAAAATGATATTTAACATTTTAACATAATTTCATAAAAAAGGCAGAGGGGAGAATTTACAGTCTATCTCTACTACTCTAACTTCAGAATCAGATTTATTGGCTAGATATGCTTAAACACACACATGGAATTTAACTTGGGTGAACTGAGGTCTCTTATGTACAGGTACAACATTAAATATCACAAAAAACACAAAATAAATAAATACTAAAATGTACATGACTAAATAAGAAACAGTGCAGTGGTGAGAGGTGCAAAAGATCCTGAAGTAACATGATGATACATTTTTAAAATTATGTGACAGATGGGTTAATTTACATGAGGTAGAGTTTTACAGTATTTACATTAAAGGTGTGCTTACATTGATAATTTAGATTAAATAATATATATATATATGAGTACATTCACACTCTGAATGTTTAAAGTTCATCAGAGAGACAGACTGAGGGTAGAAACTGTTCTCATGTCGGGTTGTTTGGACGTGCAGAGATCAGTGCAGAGATTCTGATTATAAACGATGTGACCTCGTCTTTCAGTGAGAATAAACTGATTATAAATGATCTGTTTTTAGAGGCACCGATAGAGAATATGAAATAAAGGCTTTTGAAAGGGAACATGACAGATCCATTACAGAAGAAGGTTTTAGTTTTTCTCCTGAAGCTTCAGGGCAGAAGTCTTTTACGAACAGGGTATTTATTTATCTTCCCTACGTCCAACAATCTGAGTAATCGTTTCTTTACAAGGTTACGTTTTTAAATCAATGAACAATAAATACGATCATCTAGACAACATCACCACAACAACAGTTCTTTGATTTAGTCAAGTTTAATTCTCAAATGGAGCAAATAAGCGAGGAGAAATAAAAGAGGCTGCCTGGATCTATCTTAAATATAATCAGAGTCCAGGTTCAGGTGTTCAGTTTTCATTTCTAAATATAAAACAAACGTGTGTGAGTAAAATGAGCCGCGCAGTGAGACGGCTTCAGACTGCGGAGACACTCCCCCAACAAGGAACTGAGAAGGTCAGAGGTCAGCGAGGCCGCTCATCTGAAGCTTCATGGGACACATATTCATATCCTCACTCTGGATGTGACAGGATAAATAAATAAATAAATAGATGAAC